CCCTGTGAACACATTTCACATCAGAATCACACCCCGGTCTCCTCTCAAGTCAAATTATTGCCCGACAATCTGGATGCTCTACTACCCATCCCACGCATTTGAAACCAACGGAAGAGAAATTTCACCAAACAAGTTTATACATGAATATCTGTCTGTGTGTGTGTGTGTGTGTGTGTGTGTGTGTGTGTGTGTGTGTGTGTGTGTGTGTGTGTGTGTGTGTGTGTGTGTGTGTGTGTGTGTGTGTGGTTTGTCATTTATGGCATTAACCTTCATCAGCTTTGCCTCACCAGTTCTATTAATCACCTCAGTGAGAAATCAATAGGGTGTACCATTATGGTTCACATATCAAATTAATTCATCTCGCTTCTCGCTATTTTTCTTTTTTCCTTAAAACACACTGACAAATCCCTCAACCTAGACTTTCACTTTGGGGATGTGTTGCATCTCAAACAGCAACATGTGATCACACTGCTTCTCTATCATCATGATGTCAAATCATTTTTTTTAAATGAATATGTACGGAGCCCTAATGGGACATAAAAAATAAATTGAAAAAGACATAGAGAGGAAGAAATAACGGGTTAGTATCTCGTGCGCACGAGAAACTAACCCGTTATCCTGACTTTATTTTCTAATTTTTTTTAGAAAGTTACCGGTGCGCAAAGGAGGAAGTGGAGCACACACTCCTTTTGGAACATTAGATGTGGCACTGTTTATGTTGCTAATGCTGTTGGGTGAGATTCCCGGGCTGATTTTTATTCCCAGTCCGCTCATCATGCCCCTTGGTGACCGGACATCTCCTTCATAAAACTAATAAAAGGGGGAGTAACCGGGCAGTTTGATGTGTGTAGAGGTGTGTGTGTGTGTGTGTGTGTGTGTGTGTGTGTGTGTGTGTGTGTGTGTCTCTCCCCCCGTCGACGCTCACGAAACAGAGGGCCTCATCATCTAACTTTGCGTCGGGCCTCAAGTCGGCCAGGGACGGCCCTGCACACACCCCTGGCAGAAATGTCCTTAAAATGAAGTCTGAGTACGAAATATATCTCAAATAATGTATGCACTTTCATTTCCCCACGTAAACATAACAGTCTGCAATGAAATGGTTGTCTCCTGTGCGCTCCACTTCCTCCTTGGCGCACCGGTAACTTTCTCAACAAAAAAAAAAGTTCAGGATAACAGGGTTGAGTAATCTCGTTGCGGCACGAGAGGATAACAGGTTTCTCGTGCGCACGAGAAACCTGTTATCCTGACTTTTTTTTTTCATGACCCCTTAGGGGCTCACTAAATATGACCCGTCTACTACACAAGATTAAATGGAGGTACTGTGTACTTTATAAAGGTTTTTGTTATCTGTGATGGGCGTGAATGTGTGCGTGCGTGCGTGCGTGCGTGCGTGCGTGTGTGCGTGCGTGTGCACAAATCAAAGCTCTCGGAAGCTAAATTTGCTGATAGTCTCTCTTTATCATTGTTAAGCCAGGGGGAGCAAACAGTGAGAATGAATAATGAATTCTCTGCCCAAACAGGAGATTACACGAAGGCTGTTTAAAGTGCAGCTAAACATGGCTGAATTTAATACTTTAGAATAATAATCAAAGTATCACGATCCATAGATAGGCAGGTAATCCTCACCTTTACACACCTTTGGGAATATGTGACTGTGAGTTATTGCTTTTTGTGTCACTAGTGTTTTTTCCTTTTCAAACCCCTGGAGTCGATGCAGTCGTCTTGTCAGGTTTCCTGCAGCGGCGCTGAAGCGGAGCCTCGGTTTATGATATGTCTAATGCCAAAGTGGGACATGGACCTCATGTGGAGCCTGAGATTGCAAAACATGCAGCTGCAGAATTGGATTACAGCCGCGCTTTGTGCCGCCAGTCAGCAGGAGCTTAATCGAAGTGTGTGACCAATCTAACACAATGCCGTGTGTGTGCGTGTGTTTGATGTATATGGTAATGTTCCGAAGCACAAGTCCATATGAGGATAAAATAGGTACAGATATTTGATAACAGGAGAGTTCAAACACTCCTCCATTCATTTGTAGTTTCACAACATATTCTTAAATGCTTGCCAGTCAGTTTCTTTTGTGCAGTTAAAAAGTGACAAGATACAGCAAATTAGAAAGATAAAACAGCCAAGCCATTTTCCTTTTCTACAATGCATAAAGTGTCATTTGCGGGGACAATTATGTGTCACATTTGAGAACATTAGTTTCTTGAAATGCTCTCATCTCCCTCAGGCTGCCTTCTGGCCTTCCTGCATTGTGTTGCACATGGAGCAACAATCATTAATATGAAATGTTTTTAGACTGAACACTGTCAATCAGAACACTCTTAATCACTGTGGACCAGCATGGCTGTGATTCTCCTGAAAAATGTATTCCTTTAGAGGGAATGTATTTGATGATAAGCAACACATTTTTTCTCAATGACCCCTTGTAAAACTTAATGGGTTGAATTGTTTTAAATACACATACAATCAACACAATTCTACAATATCTTCAATTGGAGTATTTTTTTTACGTGAAGCAGACTTTTTGTGATAACTTTAAAGGGGTCCTACTATGCTTTTGGGGGTTTTAACTTCCCTGTAGTGTGTTGTATAGGTTTTTGTGCATGTACATGGTCCAGCAAAGTTTAAAATCATGCCAGAAGGAGTTTCTGTCCCACACACTCCCCCCCTGACCCGATCTCAAAATAGACGCCAGGCACCATATTGGAAACCAGTTGGTTTTGTGTAAGCTGTGCTGGATAAAGGGCTCTTTAGCATAACATGGGGAGAAAGTGTCTGACATGTTCTAAGTGAAGCGGCCCCCTGCTGCAAAATGTTTGGCCCCCCGCTGTTCAAGTGTCCTTAACAATAATAACAGCAGTGCTTTAACATCCATGAGAACATATGACTTAATGTGTCACATGTTAAATACCTAGACACCACACTAGTGTTTTGAAATCTTTAAATACATTTTAACTATCTATTTTTTAAATGCTGCCAGCACTTGACAGGTTCTTAGAGTAATTATTGCATGTTTACTTCTTTCCAGATGGCTATGGGATTTGGATGTAATCCAGTATGGTGAAAGTAAATAAACTCCACACTTGCTTGAGGAAGGTTTATTATTTTTAGCCAACATTTTATTTTTGAAATATGAAAAGATACTTTTTTGGCAATGCTCCCTTGTTAGAGGTTCAAATCTTTGCAGAAGATCCAAGAAGCTTCCAAGACTTGAGAGTTGGCTTTTGGACGGCTTCATTTTTTAATCCCGGAAACTAACAAATTCCCTACCTCCCTTTTGGGTCGTACTTTTATTTTTCAACTAGCTTGTGAATGCAAAGGTGTTGGGCAGCGTACCCTCAAATCTTGGATGGCCTTTTTTCTAAGAAGCACTGAACAGATAAAACAAAAAAATCAAAACATTCTCATTCAGCAGCTCTTATTTGTCGCACCAAAACTAACATCATTTTAACATAGTTGCAGAGCAGGGAGGAAGGACAGCAGGTTTTGGCATCATTGATTTATAAAAGGTCTTTTGATTTATAATAAATGTTGATGTGAGGTGACTGGCAGCTCATGCAGGTTATTTAGTACGAATGTTGAGACACTGTGAGGCAAAGATATGGTACATAAGCAAAAAGTGAAGACTGTGTAGATAAATCATTATGTGTTAACTAGGAGCCCCAACAGAAGGAAGAAGAAACAGTTAATTATCATAATTAACCATAATAACATAGTCCATAGTGTTGTTAAATTATCCAAGAGACACTGAGGACTCGCCCACGTTGGCACTTACACTTGTGTGCTTTCATTTTAATCCTCCTTGTTGGACATTATAGTAACTTGCAGTGCGGTGGAGAGCAATTCCTTAGCTCTGGTGTACTGTAATCACAGCCTAATTAGCTTAAAGAGTCCGACTGGATTATGACTATAAACCAAAGCCTTTGCACATACACAAATTCACATATTGGTGATAATGTTGGCAGCCAGTACTGACACTATCAACCCCTCCTCCAGGTAGTCAGAGAGGGCAAAAATACACCCATCCTTTACTCAAGTAGGAGTATAGATACTCGTGTTTAAAAATACTCTGGTAAAAGTAGAAGTACTGACTAAACTTCTTTACTCAAGTATAAGTAAAGGAGTATGGGCTTTGAAATGTACTTAAAAAGTACCCATAACTAGCAGCTGTTTTAAAGAGTACCTGACCTCCCTTTATATTAATAGAACAATAATTTTATTGTTAGCTAATGAATGTTTCGATGCTGAACAACGGCAACATGACAACGTTTTCATTGGTCCCTCTTCTTTAGAGAAGACCAGGAAGTGATGGATACACGGATCGTGTTCAAATCAATAGGCACACAATGACTCTAGATAATAATGATCACGCCACCAAACACAGATTAAAACCAAATTAACAAACCTGTTTTGAAAATGTAAGAAGTAAAAGTAAAAAGTCGTCAGAAAAATAAGTAGGCTGCTGGAGTAAAGTACTGATAGGCAAGGCAAGGCAAGTTTCTCTATATAGCACCTTTCAGCACACAGCAATTCAAAGTGCTTTACAAAACAAAATAAAAGACATTTAAGAAGAAATACAGCAGAAACACATTATAAAATGGCATTTAGCAACAGGCATTAAAAAGCAAGGTTAATAAAATAAACACAACAGGTATAGAATATATGAATAAAAGCCACACTGCAGTGTGGATATAATCAAAAGCAGCGGCAAAAAGATACGTTTTCAGTCTGGATTGAAAGTAGTAAGAGTTGCAGCGGACCTGCAGGATTCAGGGAGTTTGTTCCAGATGGTCGGGGCATAATAGCTAAACGCTGCTTCTCCATCTTTAGTTCTTACTCTTGGAACAGAGACCCGTCCCAGAAGACCTGAGACTCCTGGATGGTTCATAGTTTTGCAGGAGATCGTTAATATAATTTGGTCCTAAACCATTCAGGGTTGATACCAGAAATATGTACTTAACAAAGTATTTGTATTGCACTACTTCCCACCTCTGCAGGTAGTGCCCCAGTGTCTGCCTCCTCAGACTGTGTGGTGGCGGAGCAGCGCTGCGTCCAGGAGCCGTCCTGCATAGGGCTCTATCGGCTGCTGGAGTACTGCGCGGCGGAGGAGGCCGTGTCTCCTCTCGGCTCGGACGCCCGACTCGAGTGCCTGGAGGCCCAGAACTCTTTGCAGCGTTACCGCCCGCTGCAGGTTTGCAAGTGTCAGCGCGGCTCTCGCAGGGAGGAGCACTGCCTCAAGGTCTACTGGACGGCCAGATTTGCAGGTGGGTTCAGCATTGGTATCTACTGTTGGGGAAATATGTTTCCTAGGCCCATAACTTTGACCCAGTTTATCAGTTTGCACAATGAGCACCTGCAACCTTGGGTGCTGTGCGCTCAGTGTGTTGTCTCCCTGTTCCTGCCTGTTGGCGTCAGCTGATAGAGGTGTTATGGTTTTATCTTGTTATGCACAATGTTGATTCTTCTCTCAGAACTAGCTAAATACATGGGTCTGGGGTAGAGATCTTCAGAATTGGTTTGGCAACGGCTGTGTCAACTCGTGGCACAGCACATGTCTTTTGAATTCTCCGGCCGAAGCTCCGAATAAACCATCAGTGTTTGCCATCAAATTCCTGCTCTCCCCCGTGTCTCTCTGAGTCCTGTCTCCATTGCTTCAGAAGTTTCCATCATGTGTTTGAAATCTCCATTGCATAGTCCATGTGATAAATACTCTGTACTGTTGTTTCAGCTTATGAGGAGTATGAAGTGTCTCCATATGTAGAACTGCAGTTGAATCTGGTGAAACACTTAGAGATGACACGTATGGCCTCCATCATGGCAGGTACTGCTCTGGTCACAAATCATAAAAGTTCTGCATGCTGCATGTTATGGTTTTTATTTCCCAATAAACGTTTTTTCCCCCCCTCCAGCTTCTTCTCTTTCTGTGGATGGCCAGAACCAGTGTCTGAAGGCAGCGCAGGACTGTGGCCTGTATGAGAAATGTGGCTCCCTTCGGTCAGAGTATGTCGTGGCCTGCACCAAGCGAGCGACAGTCACAGACGAAAGCTGCAACCGGCAGAAATGCCACAAAGCCCTGCGGCGCTTCCTGGAGCGCGTGCCCGAGGAGTACAGCTTCGCTCTGCTCTTCTGCCCCTGCTCGGACACTCTGTGCGGGGAGAGGCGGAGGAAGACCATCGTCCCGTCGTGTTCCTACGAGGAGAACGGGAGAGGGGAGGAACGAGTGGGAAAGCCCAACTGCCTGAGCCTGCAGAACTACTGCTCCAGAGACGAGCTGTGTAGGTGAGACGGCTGATTGGGGGCAACGACACACAAGTGCCCTTAATGAGGGTTTCAGCATGGGACCACACAGGAAATTAAGATTTAACAAAGTGTCCTACAAAGCACCGAGGTATACTGTCAGACCATTTACCATAAATTACAATGAACTACTCTAGTAACTCAAAACGTCAGTATTAAAAGCCTTTTGTTGAGTTTTTTAGTACAGTTGTTGCATTTGTAGGCAGTGTTTTGATAAATGGGTCCCAGTTTGATTTGTAACTCACAAAGGGAAGTTAAACCACCAAATGTTTTCATGAACAATTGTTGAATCACTAGAAGAACTATCACCAGAGCCCAAATTCCCATTTTTTTGGTTTTCTTTATCCGGACCAACAGTCATAATCAACAATATTCAGATTACTGAGAAAAAGCAGCAAAGTCTTAGTTTGAAGAAATTGGAACAATCAAATAAGTTTAAAGAAAGACTTAAATTATTAATCAGTTATCAAGATAGTGTTGAATGTGTTAATTGACTGAAGTTTTAGCTCCAACCCTCTACTCTGACAGCATATGCACATAGAACCAGATACAATTTAGTGCTTGCAACTATAAAAAACACATCTTGTTTTCACGCTTTATTCAACATATAGCAGTAATAGTGTAAGATATGGTTGTTCAACAGCAAATGCAGGAACGATAATCACCTTAGCAGATGTTTAATAAAAAGTTTGTTGCCTGCCTTTGGTCAGTGGCCAAGTAAACAAAACAATAACATCAAATATGTCCTTAAAATAACAAACTGTCTGGAGTAAGCCTGTGAGTTTATTTACTTGCATACATTCGGGTATTTACTTCTTTCTCTGCTCAGGGATAAAGGTCTGTAAAAATAATGACTACATTTGTTTGTTTTTTTACACTTTCATCACTGATCGGAGGGAAATATGAACAGTTTTTGAATCTGTGGTCCCACTATAACTCGAAAAATATTCGATGATGTATGGATAGGGGCAGTTTGCTTTTAGTGTCCCAGAATGCATAGCTATGCCCCTAATCATTTGTATGATTATAATGGCATTAGTGACTCTAATTTCACTCTGCTTAAAAATGCATAGGTCTTTCTTACACTAATACCGGTCTAATCTGTGTAAATGTTACAGAGGTTATTAATGAAAATGGTAGAGTTCCAGTAAATTGAAACTGAGAAGGTCACACAAAATCCCTCCTCTGTAGTATTATTCACACATTTCAAATAAGAAAAGAGAGCAGCCTTGACTTTAGCTGACATGAGCGTCTTCTTTTCCACCTGTGTGGCTATCATGTGTTTCTTCTGGAAATCGTAGGAAAAGCAAAGGAGAAACTCAATGTTAGCTCAAGTTATAAAGTATTTTATATCTGCTACAAATGACAAGATGTTTTAAACGTGTGTGCATGTTTATTAGAATAATTGTTAACCAAATCTACTTGTAAAATATATACAGTAGCTTGAAACCTCTGAGACGAAGTGTTGTCCTCACCCTCAGTACCAGTGGCTTAAACAATCGAATTAACTGACATTTGTATTTCAGAGAAGAGTAGTAGGTTGTGTATTTGTAAACCAACACATTGTTTTAATGTCTCAGCACAGCTATCCATGTCTCTGTTTTGTGTTTTGCTCATATTGTTGCTTATGCTGTGTTTGTTTTTGTTGCTAGACCCCAAATCCCGAATTGTCTAAACACTTTAAAATGCACACTCTGCTTCCCTTTGCTGACGGATGAAACTGTTTTCTCTTCTGTGTGTGTGTGTGTGTGTGTGTGTGTGTGTGTGTGTGTGTGTGTGTGTGTGTGTTGTAGTGTGTGTGTGTGTGTGTGTGTGTGTGTGTGTGTGTGTGTGTGTGTGTGTGTGTGTGTGTGTGTGTGTGTGTGTGTGTGTGTGTGTGTGTGTGTGTGTGTGTGTGTGTGTGTGTTTCAGATCCCGCTTCGCTGATTTCCAACACAACTGCCAGCCCTCCCCTCTGTCTGCTTCTGGCTGCGTGCGAGAAAGCAGAGCCATGTGCTTGAAGGCCTACGCTGGACTCATAGGTGAGATGGAGGAAAAATAAATTAAAGAGGTTTTTGTAAAAAAGCCTTATCCGTGATGTTTGGCTTACATCATTTTCACTTGGTTGCACAAGGAATCTAAAGGAGTACAGCTGCACAAAGCCAACCATCAGCGCTACAAAAGGATATTTTAATAATAATCCACCTCTATATTGTATTTAAAACTGTATATTAAAATAATAATCTTGCAGGCATGCAATTTTCCACATTAAGAGCTTGACAAGTCTTTACACTCTTAAATTGTTGTTAGAGTGCATCTCACCTACCATGAAGATGTGTGCTGAGAATTTCAATCTTCTGCCAAAAGAAAATATTTCGGGAAGAGTTTATAAAGTCGCAGCTGCAATATGACTTTTGTGTTCTTTCTAAAACCAGGCACCATCATGACTCCTAACTATGTGAACAACAGCAGCACAGAGGTGTCCCAGTGGTGCTCGTGTGACGGCAGCGGGAACGAGTGGCAGGGCTGTCAGCGCATCATGCACATGTTCAGCGGCAACTTGTGTCTACGTGAGTCGAATGTTATTATTTTACAGCATGCAGTACAAAATACCTGCAGGATTGACAAAGACAAAAAGCCTTATAACCTATTAAAGATGATTTGAAATCACATGTAAGTAATAGTCATGTGTTGTAAACATATAGAAACTTACCAACGTTTGTAGTAGAAGAATGGACATGTGATAGTTCTTGCAACTTTATCTAGTGATTTGAGTCATAAATGTTTAAAGGGACCCTTTATGATAATCTGTAGGTTCATATTTGTATTTTGTTCCTCTACTGTGACATGTCCCCATGCTTTAATGTTCAAAAAGCTCTTTATTTTCTCGTACTGCCTGTGCTGCAGCACCTCTTTTCACCCTCTGTCTGAAACCAGAGCCCAGTCTGCTCTGATTGGTTAGTTAGCCTGAGCTATTGTGATTGGTCAACCGCTTAGAAATGTCACGCCCCTCAGTCTATCATGTACAATGTGTTGGAGCGCTAGTCAATTTAAGTGTGATTGTTACATAGTGATGTCATTATGCTACGGAAGTAAACAAAGGAGTCCAATTGATGGGGAGGAGTAGGAGTATATTTATATACAGTATATATCTATATAACACACTACAGGAAATGGAAAACACCATAAAGCGTTTTTTCTGCGTCTAGATAACAACAAAGGAACAGTTGACTTTGAGCTGTCAAACCTGAGAATAACTAACTTGATCTCTCGAGATGCTGCTCAAACTAAGCGGTTTTTAATGTGAATTAATGCAGAATTCAGACGAGGTGGGTCATAATTGATGATTGAGAGGGTAAACCATTGAACCGTTATGTTTTCTTATAAATAAGTAAGCAGCAAGAGACACTCTTTGGTTGGTTGCCAAATGTGCATGACATTTCTCCAAGTTCTGTGGAGTCAATGAATTACAGCGATAAACACAAAGAGGCTTCTTGTTGAATTGTTGCCAAACTAGTAGTAATTGAAAAAGGCATCAAAACACCCCATATAAGAATCACTTTTTAAAATATTAAACTAACCATTGCTGTAGAATGCGCTTACATTAACAACAATTAGTATGCACCGTGTAACACTATGGACTGCAGAGTTGGGTTTATTTAATCGAAATGTCCCATTTAGAGGTGGAGGAAGTACTCAGAGTCAGATCCTTTACTTAATGAAAAGTAGAAATAATACCATCCATAATTCAATAGAAGTAAAAGACCTGAATTGGAAAAAGCACAAAACGACCCCTTTAAATAAATGCAGTACAATAAAAAGTACCATGTTGCCATCCAAAATGTAATTGAGTCAAATATGTATCATATAATGTATATCAAAACTTAAGTAAAATAGTAAAAGTACATTGTTACACTCCTCCACTGACTTCTGTATAAACAACCATTGGTGAAGGAGTGGCTGTAAAATAGAGAGCGAACTCGGATAAATTATTCAGTGTATTATTAGATTTGTCCGTTCGGTCCAGTGACATTATTTTATCGCGTGTGCTGGGAGCCAAAAGGAAGTCAGAGGTCTCCGATGCACTGGAATACTCTATAGTGTGCATGATATAAAAGTCTGTTTGCTTATCTGCACATAGTGAGCAACTGTATAATGGAAATTGGTTTGGCGCCCTCTTTGAACTCACTATCAGTTGTCCTCACGTTTATGAACATGAAAACTCAAAAGATCCCCACAGGTGTTACAATTCACCTTCAGGGGACGTGGGTGCACCAAAAGGCCTGTCACAATAAGTACAATATAGATTTATCTAAAAATATATGGACGTGACCTCAATCATTTTGATCGACTTAAGTTTAAAGCAAAAAAAGAGAGAAACGCTGTTGTTGTCACTTTGTAATTGAGGTCTTCCCCATTGAGCAACTGGATTGGCAGATTATTGCCTGTCACCAATTTGAAGGTAAGCCACACAATAGTTAATAAATCAGCTTGGACCACATAACAATATTACAATCCTGCGATCTAAGCCACAATGTGGTTTATCCAACCTATTCAAATGTCGCCCAATCATGCACAGTACTTACATATATCCCCTAACTGTGCTTTTTTAAAGCCACTGATAATACTCTGATGATGCTTCAAGGATGAATAACCATGTGAACCTATTGAAGATGTCCCCCGCTGATTGTGTTTCAGGCAACGCCATCAGCTCCATGGGAATCTCCGCACTTCCTCCTGTGGAAAACACTCCGGTGCCAGCGTCTCCGCCCCCCCCTCGCGTCTACCAGGAAAAGGTCCATGTCGGTGTTAACACTCTCCCTGAATTCAACAGTGTAAGCACCTCCTCTCTCGGTCTCACCATATGTGTTAGAAACAGTAGACAGTGTATCAGGAGGTAACACCAAAGTATCGGGGGGGACCAAGCAGCTCCTCCACCCTCCTGTACTCCGCCTCTCATTGTGGCTGAGGATTAGCCGTAGGTGTTTGCAGTATTAGACTCAACCTTTACGGTTAATATTCATGTATGCATATCCATCTGCTGCATAGTCCCCATTCATTCTTCTATACCGGCCGTGCCACTGCTGGGCTGCAGAGAAAAACTCCAGTTAATTTAAAGATGATGCATTTGAGTTTTGTAGTTAAAAAGGTAGAGATGCGTTGAGCTACAAAGTGAATTCCTCCTGAAATGAATCACAACTTATAATATTTAAGGAAAACCTCAAACTCAATTGCCCTTAGACAAATAGTGGCTATAAATCGAACATCATTGAGAAACAACAAGTGCTCTTCTTTACTTTTAACGACAGTGCCAAAAAAAAAACAAAGTCTGCAAGAATTGCCATCTCTCCCTCTGCCTCTCTAAGGCCCCGGCCACATGAGGACGCATACGGCTAAACGCATAGGATTAACGCAAACGCAATCGCAAAAAAACTTCCGTCCACCGGTCCACACGCAATGTTCACCGGATAGTGTCTGTCCACACGAGGCAGCTCCGTTTAGCTCCAACCGCTGGAGAAGCTGCAGTACATACGCAGGAGCTTGTACGTGGCGCTGTAACTTCCTCCACAAAAGCAGCGAAGAAGCATGGTTGTCATGGTTGCCCTTCTGTTTATTCTCCGCGGTGGGGGCCGAGGGAACCGGGCAGAGTTTTTCGCCAGTCAACGTGTGTTAAAGTTTAAATCTTCCGGACAAAATTATATAAAAGTGCCGGTCAAAGGTCTTCTTTGTTATTTATTGAGCTTTAAAACAAATGAATAACAAATCTATATAATGTAATAATAAAGTCGTCGTTGGACCCCCCCAGAGCGTTGTGTATGCCGTGCTATCCACCTTGGGACCCGTTATCGTTTCCGCAGTTGTTTACTGTCACATTCAGTCGTCCTCGTGTGGCCGAACGGTCTATATGACACTAAACAGTAACGCAAACGACCGTTTTCGTCCTCGTGTGGCCGGGGCCTAAAGCTGCTGTCCTGCTGCTTTCCGCCTCACAACCATCACCATCCCAGCATCCGCCTGTGGGCTCCGGGGGAAAGTTATTGAAAGAAAGATTAGGCCGAAGACGCCTAGACGCCAAACCTAACAAAAACAGCTGCATATAGAATCACTCTTTCCTCTGCTTTTACAGATGGAGGACAGCGAGGAAGAGGATCAGCAGCAGGAGGAGGAAAGCGAGGAATTCAACGTAATCCCTCCGTACTCTGAGAAGGACTCCAACACTGAATCTGGGGCCAGAGGCAGCACACGAGGAGCCGCCGGCCGGGCACTACCCTTCCTCACATTACTGCTGCTGCCTACTCTCATCCTGGACGGGGCCTGTTGGAGCTACTGAAGCCTCTCTCATTCTCCGCTCTTATTTCACACGCACTACCGCTTTCAAATCCATCGCAGAATGAGCCACAGAGGAAACATTTCTTCTTCTTCCTTTTTTTGAAATACCCTGCCTTTAGTTTATTATTCTGTTTCTCCTATCACTGCCTCCTCAAGAGCTGAAAGATATCTGTAGTCCCGCAGTATCTCTCCTATGAAACACAGCGGAAAAACGTGAGCAGATAAATGAGTGCATGGGTGGATTTAGAAATGCTGTCTGGGCAAATACTCTATCTAGAGCCTGCTTCACACTCAAAGTACATCCTCTCTTTTTAAAAAGAAGCACATCGCCCAAGGCAACATCCACTATACACACTCACAAAAACCATAACCAGTCCACTCCGCTGCAACCAGGCTGGAGCACGGCTTTTTATTTCTATTTCGTGAATCATGTGACATCCATTTCTCTGTGGTCCCCTTCGGATCTTCCTCTCCCGGCTCCATACGCTGGCTGAGTAACACAATCCACTTTAAAACAAGCTAATCAGAAACTTCTCCGCACTTAAACTGCTCCATTGGAGAAGAATATGGTTTTGAAATGTGCTGTTTTTTTTTCTCACATTTGTGTATGACACATCTTTATGTCTCCTGCTCCCTTTGTGCGGAGAAAAGCAGAGTGCAACAGTGGTCCTTTTGTGTAAATGCCACTTAGTGTTATTCCTACCAGGGTGAGAGACTGAGGATCCAACCATACGCAAAAGTAATGAGATCAAATTATATTGTTGGAATGACGAGCAAGAGAAAAGCAACACGAGCAATTACAGCACAATTCAAATTGCTCAGCATGCGGGGGAAAGTCTGGAGTAAGGCTCAAGGGTGGAAATAGCCAATTTACTTCTGTCAGACCCCCTCTCTTTTTCTTGTCCTGAGGAGGTGTGTTTTTAGTGCTTCTTGCCCGTAATGTGCTCTGGATGTTTTGAGAGCGAGATGCGGAGAGACGGATGGACACAGGAGACTCTAAAGCCTCCTGGCTGCTCCCATCGTTGAGCAGAACATTGAGCCATTCTCTCTTCCTGAAATAGCTTCTGCTGATGTTAATGATTTTCTTTCTCTTATGGCTCATTTTCTTGTGAAATTACGCAGCTGCAAGGGATGTAGGTAAAGTGAAGTATGGAGAAGTCTTTGTGGAGGGGTAAACTCGTCTAATTTAAGGATGAGTTCACAAGAAGTTACCTGAGCTCCGCAATGGAAATGTTCTCTCATGATAGAAATATCTATACCATCAACACGGGAGATTTCTAAAGACATATCATTGAGAAAAAAAACATTGTTGAGTGCTTGAATATTATTTCATCGCGCCTCAACTACTGGACTTGTTTATACAATGACTTGTTGACATGAGGACTGAACTTAAAGTATGAAGGCAGAAAAGTATGAAGTGTCTGTATGATCTATGCTTTTGCAAATGCAGATCCATGACCAATTCAAACTTGGTTTTGAATTTCCAGAAGTCAAAGTAAATGGAAGCTTTGAGTTTGGGAGACCTGTGGTGGCTGTTGCACACTTTGGGCCAACATGACATCATGCAGACTTTATTAAGAGTTTGGCTGCAGGAAGCTAAGCAGTGGAGGAGGGAAAGGTCAGTTAACAAAGCTCTGAAGTGTGACTGCAAGCTTAGTGGGTTCAAAAAACAATTTGGACAGAATATTTTAAAGCTAGTGCGCATACTGTATATGAAATAGACATTATAGAAGAGGCATGTTGATGGATGAAAATGATAAACACACTTTACCCATCACTGTAACAACGCAGTGTCAATGATGCTTAAAATGAACGGCATTGAGAAACACGTGTCAATAATATCATCCAGTGAGCTCTGGCCTTAATGACTGAATGTGAGTTTACATGTATTTTCACATTTCAGTAGGTTTGTTAATATTTGTAAACTACACTTGCATTAAACATGGCTTGTTTTTTTTTGATGAGTTGAAGAGTTTAAAAGAAAAGAAAGCTTATTCTTCATCCATCAATTTAAATTCTTTAAGAAAATATGTGAATATTCCCTAAATTTGACTGTTTTTAGATTGTATCTTGAGAATACAGTTTAGAGACGCTGTACAGTACTATGTTCTACATGCTAACCTTCTTTAAAAGACATATCAAACATGCCAAATAACTCTGACTGTAATGTGTAATAACTGTAATTTTTGTGACATAGCAGAACAGTGTGCCGTTTCGGTAAAAAGAAGAATAAAATTCACATTTCCACGTCTGTCAGGTAAAGAAATTGGCTTTTAATGATCAATCATTGACTGTTTTGTGTGAACATCTAACATGTTGATATTTATGTTAAGTGTAATGTTAATTTCAGTGCAAATTGGTGAGTTAATGACCTATGTACATTTTTGGAAATACATGTTGAAATATACAGCTTCGCTACCATTTAGACATTCATTTTCTTTCATTAAAATCCACATGCCCCATGCATAATGACACCAGTGTGGCAGAAACAGTGGAGTACTTTGAGAATTGTTATGGAAACTGGCATCAGCCTTTGCTTTAATTATAAAAAAATGCAGCATGAGGACACTGGGCCTTTGTTTTTAATTTCCAAATCCAGCCAACTGTCTACAAAGTTAAGTTCTGCTTTATTTATCCCCGAGGAGGAATTATCTTCTGCATGTTATCCGTCCGTACTATTCAGGAGCAGCGGGAGAAAGTAAAAAGGAGAAAAACATATCTGTGGTTTGCATTTTTTAGCCCGTTCACTTCTAATATTCTGCCCTACTGTGTGCCTCTATGCGTAGATCCACAGATAGCTCACTGCTTCAAGAGAGTCAGAAACTGGAGCGCAGATGAAAGCTCTTAACTGTTGTTTTTTGTCAAAATGAAATGACAGTAGAAATTACTGAGTGCTATTTAAAGGACATCACACATCCAAAGACATTCAATTATGTAAATGAGGGCTTAAAAAGATATTGCCATCATCTACCACATTGAAATGATATGTAAATAGTTCTACTTAAATTGTAAATGTCTTGTAAATAATGCACATAAAATTCAGCCGCTTAAAAACAGTAATAGAAACAGTACTGGCATAAATGCAGCAGGAAAGCTATCAAATAGCTATTACACTAGAGAACACAATAGATGCACAGATAGTTAAACAAAGGCAGTGTTCACATTTAAATAAACAATGTTTTTAAATGCAACATTACTAAACACATTGTGTGATCATTGTGTACTCATATAATGAAGTGTTTGGTGTAAATACAACTCAAGGGGAAGCTTTCCGAGGCTCAAGTAGAGGAAGTTGAGGATAAGGTGGCTAGAGCTGCTAGCTGACCACATGGGATGCTACCATAGGCTGTATCTATAAAGTATGCTGCTAATGCATTATTTCCTGATCTCTGAACTATGGGTCACATGACCAAAGCATCCAATTAAAACAATGGCAGAAAGTAAACAGGAGAACAATGATTTTGTGTGAGTTTTGCTAATTCAGGGTGAAGACATAAAGTCGCTCCCAACTTTTTTAACACCATGCCTCCTGTTTATAGCAGATTTATTATATAATATATTGGCCTTGTCTTGAGATTGAAACATTTGAGGGTATTATGAAGAGAAAATCGATCAGGAAATAAGGTTCACAGAGATTAGTAAAATTGTTGGATTTTGATTAAAGGTGGGGTTTTGGAGAAACCAGCTCGAGTGCGCTAGAATTTGAAAATACACAGCTGGAAAAAATCTGCCACTTCCTTACAGAGCCCCTCCTCCAACACACACGAACGTGCACATGACCAATGAGGGCACGAGATACGTTTGTGCACAGATGGAAGGCTGACAGGCAGGTAGGTCATCCAGTTATTTTAGCCGGGCCGACTAAAATGATTGGTTGTGCTTTTTACAGTACTACGGCTTCCACAGATGATATGTTTTTATGGATTTTTTGTCAAAGCACTTAAGATATTCATTGCTATCGGGATGTTAACAGCATTCCATGGAATATAACAAAAAGTGTATCTCGAGCCGGTTTCTCAGAAACCGGCTCGAGATACACTTTTTGTTATATTCCATGGAATGCTGTTAACATCCCGATAGCAATGAATATCTTAAGTGCTTTGACAAAAAATCCATANGTGTTTTGTTAGCAATTCTTTGATAGCAATTCTATCGATCGAAGTGGAGTCGAAAGAGATGAGTTTTCAGTCTCTCCGAAATAATCCAATGTTGTGTTAGATGATGAAAGCCTGCAGGCACCAGACCAGGTCACACTGTTTCCCTTTCATTGCTCAATTTATAAATGTATTTTCACTCTAAAAAAACATGCTTAAATGTTGTCCTTCTGCACGGTCAGTTAGTTGAGAGACCTTTTCTTATTTCATTGATGTCTGTCTGTAAGAGGATTTGTTCTTCGGCACTAAAGAGTTGTTGCTCCCTCATTGGCTGCAGGCTGGAGAGCAGAATTCAATCTGAATGTTTCGAAGACTGTCAAATCTAAAAGAGAGAGACTTGAATAACAGTTGCTGTAGTGTTTGCTATATCTCTTAACCCATGAAGGTCCTGTTTAATAGAAAAATCCCCAACACAACATGTGTACTATATACAATTAAGATACAATCATCCAAAGTACTTTTGTCACTGAAGTTTGGATATACATCATCTGTTAATCTTCCCCTATGTGATGACATTCTAGGAGCAACCAACTGGAAACACAAGGAGTTCACTAAAGAGCTTCGAATTGATGTCGACACTGAAGATTTATTGGAAGATACCGTCGGGGAATTGACACAGACATTTGCTGAGAGACCGTAGAGACCAACTCTGAAGTTAACTTCCCCTCCCCCCGACACTTAACACCTCCTAAGAGCATAATCAACATTAGAAAGCTGCAGGTCCTGTCCCTGGTGGGGTCAAACTGTCCTGTTATTGTCAGAAGAAGAGGTGGTTGTATGGTCAAATCTAAGACACAGCTGTGGTTGAAGACTCATACCAGAGGAAACAGCTCTCCAAAGGCCTGTGCTGGGAGAGAGAGGGGAGTCAGAGGAGGCTAGAACGATCAGGACATAAAATGAAGGACAGTGGTGCAGGAATGAGCCCTAAAACCCAGAAATGACTCAGTATTTTACTACGTCTGGTCTCGAAGTCAGTGTTTTTTTTACTCCTGAAATACACAAGCAAAGACATTTTGTTCTATGACACAAAACACCCCAATCGTGAATATCCAAAGCTTTTTTTTTGGTAATAAAAAAGACCTACACTTAAACAACATCACTGCACCACTCTGCAGTCCCAAACACAACATTATAAAATCAGTAAAAACCCTAAAATACCTAAAGGACATCATAAAACATTCACACTGTTACCATCTGGAGAGTTGCGTTTCTTTTTTGTACCTTATAGACAGAACTCTAGGGAAGCAAGCATTAGCATTCTCCCCAAAACCTGTCCAGCTGTCTGTTATTAAGCCTTATGATGCCCTCAGACTCCTTCATTAGACCACCATAGCATTTCACAGTTGAGCTGCTTTTGTGTCTGCTTGTGTAGAAAACTATCCCCCTTTTATTGATCAACTTGTCCACATAGCAATTGGGTTAAGATATGTTGTTGATCCACCAGATGATGTCTTTAAGACGTGTTCTTTTGTCGATTCTTTATGTAAATATTATTTATGTTACATGCCTGTGTGGAACTAATTCTTAGGAAAAAACAAGAACAGCGACAACATTAGAACCTGAAGAGAAACTAAGTGTGTGATCTGATAAGACTGAGCAGTTTTTGCTGCACTTATTAACATATTAATAAGAAAATCTAATTTACCTCAGTGCTTGATGATTCAGGGTTCATGCCTGAGTTCATATTAACACATCCCGTATACTGAAGAAAAGTACTGTATGTTGACACAGGATTATCTGCAAATGAGTGCACTGATTGTACTTAATTAATAACCACATTAACATAACTGCTTATCTTTATATATTATAAGGACGCTGCTGGGATATTAGGCAGCTGAAGAGCCTCCTGGGGCGGAGCACTGGCTCAGTTCTGATTACTGTCCCCTCACAGAAAGAAGTCCCCAGTTTCAACCCAAAAAGAGCTGCACAGTGAGAGCATTTCTCCTCCGTCTCTGCTCATTTTTCCTCAACGCCCCAATTTTTAAATGGACCGGCTATTCCTGCTGTTGCCCTTCAAAGCATATTAACAGGTCTAAGAATAAGAAAATCATGTGTACTCTACAATTGTTCTAAATACTTAGATTTTTCAATATAGTTTAGGGCTTTTTGGTATATTTGCTGTTCCAGAAAACTGTTGGTTTCCATTCATTTCAGTAGAGTTTGGAATTAAATTAGCATGGCAGTGTAACCGCATTAATTACAATAGCTAAAGATAACAAGAAATAGAATGATTTGTCACTGTAAACAAAACAAAAAATGCTCAGATATAAAGTCTCCTAGTTAGACTTCAAGGACAAAACATCTTTGCTTCAAGGTTTATCTGCTTGCCCCACATCTGAATGTCTCATCCATTGGGAGAAACTATTAAATGTTGCAATGGTGTTGAATAGGTTTGAATTCATAATTTGACCTTCAATTGAAAAAAAACTAATCTGAATTTGCAAATCATATTTTGATTATTTCGGGGAATTTCTTAATTAACAAATGTCAGTTCCTCAAAATGACTCCAGTATTTATTGGTTTTCTCAATTAAAGGTGGGGTAGGTAAGTTTGAGAAACCGGCTCGAGATACACTTTTTGTTATTATTCCATGGAATGCTCTTAACATC